ATCTGATAGGTAAACTATTCCTTGTTCTCCCAGTTTACTTATGTATCAGCCTTTAATCATGAACCCATTTTGACTTTATTTTGGTATATGGTGTGAGATTTGGGTCTATGCCTAGTTTCTGCCATACTCTTTTCCAGTTTTCCCAGCAGTTTTTTTCAAAGAGTGCGTTCTTATCCCAGAAGCTGGGGTCTTTGGGTTTATCAAATAATAGATTACTATAGTCATTGACTACTGTGTCTTGCATATTTAACCTATTCCACTGATCCACCTCCATTTCTTAGCCAGTACCAAGCAGTTTTGATGATTGCTGCTTTATAATACAATTTAAGATCTGGAATTGCTAGGCCACCTTCCCTGCATTTCTTTTCATTAGTTCCTTTGATATTCTGGACCTTTTGTTTTCCAAATGAATCTTGTTATTATTTTTTCTAACTCTATAAAATAATTTTTTGGTAGTTTGATTGGTATGGCACTGAATAAGTAAATTAGCTTAGGTAGGATTGTCATTTTTATTATATTAGCTCGGCCTACCCATGAGCAACTGATGTTTTTCCAATTATTTAAATCTGATTTTATTTGTGTGAAAAGTGTTTTGTAATTGTGTTCATAGAGTTCCTGGGTTTGTTTCGGAGGTAGACTCCTAAATATTTTATAATGTCTACAGTAAGTTTAAATGGATTTCTCTTTCTATCTCTTGCTGTTGGGCTTTGTTGGTAATATATAGAAATGCTGATGATTTATGTGGGTTTATTTTATAGCCTGCAACTTTGCTAAAGTTGTTTATTATTTCAAGTAGTTTTTTACTTGATTCTCTAGGATTCTCTAAGTATATCATCATGTCATCTGCAAAGAGTGATAGCTTTGTTTCTTCTTTGCCTATTCCAATACCTTTAATTTCTTTTTCTTCTCTTACTACTAAAGCTAAGTTTCCAGTACAATATTGAATAACAGTGGTGATAATGGACATCCTTGTTTCACCCCGATCTTATTGGAAATGCTTCTAGCTGTCCCCATTACATATAATGCTTGCTGAAGGTTTTAGATAGATGCTATTTATTATTTTAAGGAAGACTCCATTTATACCTATGCTTTCTAGTGTTTTTAATAGGAATGGGTGTTGTATTTTGTCAAAAGCTTTTTCTGCATCTATTGAGATGATCATGTGGTTTCTGTTGGTTTTGGTGTTGATATGCTCAATTTGCTGATAGTTTTCCTAATATTGAACCAACCCTGCATTCCTGGTATAAATCCTACCTGGTCATAGTGTATTATTCTTGTGATAAGTTGCTGCAATCTATTTGCTAGTATTTTGTTTAAAATTTTTGCATCTATATTCATTAGAGAAATTGGTCTATAATTTTCTTTCTCTATTTTGACTCTTCCTGGTTTAGGTATCAACACCATATTTGTATCATAAAAAGAATTTGGTAAGACTCCTTCTTCACCTATTTTCCCAAATAGTCTATATAGTATTGGAATTAATTGTTCTTTAAATGTTTGATAGAATTCACATGTAAATCCATCTGGCCCTGGAGATTTTTTCCTAGGGAGTTCATCAATGGCTTGTTCAATTTCTTTTTCTGAGATGGGGTTATTTAAGTATTTTACTTCCTCTTCTGTTAATCTGGGCAATTTATATTTTTGTAAATATGTATCCATTTCACTAAGATTGTCAAATTTGTTGGCATATAGTTGGGCAAAATAATTTCCTAATTATTGTTTTAATTTCCTCTTCCTTGGTGGTAGCTTCACCCTTTTCATTCTTGATACTAGTAATTTGGTTTTCTTCTTTCTTTTTTTAATTAAATTAACCAAAGATTTATCTATTTTATTGATTTTTTCATAAAACCAGCTCTTAGTTTTATTTATTAGTTCAATAGTTTTCTTAATTTCAATTTTATTAATTTTCCTTTGGTTTTCAATATTTCTAATTTGATGTTTAACTGAAGATTTTTAATTTGTTCTTTTTCTAGTTTTTTTAGTTGTATGCCCAATTCATTGATCTCCTCTTTTTCTATTTTATTTATGTATGCATTTAGAGATATAAAACTTCCTCTAAGAACTGCTTTCATTGCATCCCATAAGTTTTGGTATGTTGTCTCATTATTGTCATTCTCTTGAATGAAATTATTGATTGTTTCTATGATTTGTTGTTTGACCCAATCATTTTTTAGGATTAGATTATTTAGTTTCCAATTATTTTTTAGTCTATCTTTCCATGGCCTTTTATTACATATGATTTTTATTGCATTTAATATTTCTGCCTTTCTGCATTGGATTGTGAGGTTTTTATGCCCTAGTACATGGTCAATTTTTGTGTATGTGCCATGTACTGCCAGAAAAAAGTATATTCCTTTCTATCCCCATTCAGTTTTCTCCAGAGGTCTATCATACCTAACTTTTCTAATGTTCTATTCACCTCCTTAACTTCTTTCTTGTTTATTTTGTGGTTAGATTTATCTAGTGCAGAGAGGGGGAGGTTCAGGTCCCCCACTAGTATAGTTTTGCTGTCTATTTCTTCCTGTAACTCCCTGAACTTCTCCTCTAAGAATTTGGATGCTATACCATTTGGTGCATATATGTTTAGTAATGATATTACTTCATTGTCTATGGTGCCTTTTAGCAGGATGTAGTTTCCTTCCTTATCTCTTTTGATTAGATCTAGTTTTGCTCTTGCTTTGTCTGAGATCAGGATTGCTACCCCTGCTTTTTTTACTTCAGCTGAAGCATATTATATTCTGCTCCAGCCTTTTATCTCTACCCTGTATGTGTCACTCTTTTTCAAATGTGTTTCCTGTAAACAACATATTGTAGGATTATGGTTTTTAATCCATTCTGCTATTTCTTCCATTTTATGGGAGAGTTCATCCCATTCACATTCACAGTTATGATTACTATCTGTGTCTTTTTCTCCATCCTTTCCCCCCCTGTTTGTGCTTTTCTTTCTCATTTCTCCTTTCCCCCCTCTTGTTTTGCTTTTGACCATGGCCTCCCTCAGTCCCTCCCTCCATTTCCCTTTTCTTCCCCTTTACCCTTACTGCTTCTTTCCCTCCCTTCTTTCCCCCCTCCTTTTCTTTCCCCTCTTTCTTTCCCTTTTCCCTCCTACTGCCTATAGGGCAAGTTAGATTTCTATACCTAACTGATTATGTTATGCCCTTCTTGAGCCAAATCTGATGAGAGTAAGGTTCAAACAATGCTCACCCCCTCTTCTTTCCCTCTGCTGTAATAGGATTTTGTGTCTTTTCCTGTAATATAATTTATCCTTGTCTGCCTCTTCCTTTCTCAGCACATTTTCTAAGACCAGATTAATCCACTTGGATCCATTTAACCCCCTCTATTAGATTTTTTTTTATCATTACATCAAAGTCAACTAATATCCACCCCTTTATGTATACTCCTTTAACATGGTGTAATAACAATACAGTTCTCAAGAGTTGCAAGTGTCATCTTCCCTTGTAGGGATGTAAACAGTCCCCCTTATTAACAACATTGTATCTTTCTGTCCCATTTACCTTTTTATGTCTTCTTGAGTCTTGTACTTGAAGGTCAAATTTTTTGTTGAGCTCTGGTCTTTTTATCAGGAAGGTTTGGAAGTCTCCTATTTCATTGAATATCCATCTCCTCCCTTGAAAAATCATGCTCATTTAGCTGGGGACAGGTACTACCTTTTTACTCTGCTATCTTGGCTCCCAGAATCCAAAAAGCATGTATTAAATACTTACTACATGACAGCTACTGTGCTAAGTGATGGAAGGAAGAAGGAAAAAAACATTTATTAAGTGCCTAATATTACTACTCTCTACTCCTACTCCTACTACTGCTGCTGCTGCTGCTACTACTACTACTACTACTATTACTACTACTACCACTACTACTACTATTTATTATGTGCCTACTATGTGCCAGGCACTGTGCTAAGCACTTTGCAAAAAATATCTCATGTATTCCTTATAACAACCTGGAGAGGTAGATGCTAGTATTATTCCTATTTAACAATTGGGGGAACTCAGATAGAAGTTAAGTGACTTGTTCAAGGTCTCCAGTTGCTAAGTTTCTAAGGCTGAATTTGAACTCAGATCTTCCTGTCTCCAGTCCCAGTACTCTATCCATTGTTCTATGTACGGCAAAAAATCATTTATCTATATATGTAAATACATACATATATGTGTATATAGTTATACACACACAACTTTTTATTGTTGCAATGGTTGGATTAAGGATAACTGAATCCTAGAAGGAATAAGTAGGAAGAATTCTCTTTCTTATTCTTCTGCTTCCAACATTTACTCTAGAGATTTTTTACATTGACTCTTTCCTTTCAATAATTACAACTACCAATAAATAGAATGAAGGGTATTTTTATTTTCCTTCTTGATAGGGGCAAACATTTTCCATTGTAATACATTGTAAGCACATTCTCTATGTTTGCAGTGAGGTTAATGACTGAGATGTCTCAACTTTCCTGGCAAATAAAGATTTTTCACCCCCCCTCTCACTACACACATAATTAACTCTGGGGCTTGGGGATTTGGGTAATTGGAGCCTTGACAGCCTCATGGTGTTAAGGAGAGGTGGTTTCATGCACAAAAAAATCGTTCTGAGGCAGTGTTTTGTCATGAGACTGATGTATTAAGCCCTCAGCATATTCGGATCTCTGGTCTCAAACACTAGCCATTCTTTTGTCTTTTATAGGAAGCACTACACTTTTCACTTTTAAAGGTAGGAAATGTACCTATTATTTTCTGAAATCCTAGTTTCAGTCTTGAAAATCAGATTATGTACATTGAGCTGATTCCTCAAGTATTTCAGCTGTTCATCACTTTGGAGAGCCCCATTTTTGGACCCTGCAGCACTCTTCTCTTTTTCTGGTCTCCCCAAATGCTAAGGCCTCTCCCCATCCTATGATTGCCTTGTATAAAACTCTTTCCAGAAATTGGCAACAGTTAGGAGTTGTAATAAATGAATTGTTTTTAGTCTGATGCTGTTCAGGTTGGCAGGAGTGGGGGTTAGAAATGTGACAGTACCCTCCGAAGAAGATGGGATTGATGGTGAGAGAAGGAAGAGGCCAGAGGCAAGAGACAGAGAAACCATGCAGGGAGGTGAGTGAAAATTATTTTCTTTTCTTGAGTACCTTACACACTTCCAAGTACTCCAAGATCCAGCGATACTGGCCTCCATGTTAATTCTTCACACATGACATTTCATCTCCCAACGCTGACTGTTTTCACTGTCTGACTCCCATGCCTGGACTCTCTCCCTCCTCATCTCTGCTTCCTAGTTTCCTTGGCTTCTTTTAAGTCTCGGCCAAAATCCCATTCTCTTCAAGGAACCTTTCTTGATCCATCTTAATGCTGGTGTCTTCCCTCTGTTGTCCTGTATGTATATTGTACATAGTCGTTTACCTGTTGTCTCCCTCATTAGACCATCAGATTCTCATGAGCAGGGTCTATTTTTTTACCTTTCTATATATGGCACATAGTAGATGCTTAAGAAATGCTAGTTGAATGCCTGATTCCAAAGGAGTTCTGAGGGTAGCTGAGTTAAGAGTAGGAGGGGATGCAGAGACTGCATAAGATGATTGCATGTATGTGTCTCAGTGGTAATGGCTAGGTCCAGCCCATAGCACAGAGCTCCGCCCCCCTCCACCACTGCCACTTCCCCTTCACCCCCATATGCACATACACACACTATTCTGTAGCTCAATAAAGGAAAAGTGTCTTGTTATATCTCTGGGGATGCCTAAGTTGTAGGTCTTTGGAAGTATCTTTTCTCTTCATTCACTTTACTCTCAATGCTATTAAAAACCATGGCTAACTATTAAGATATGTTTCCTAGTGCTTGAGTGTAGCATGGGAGGGGTGATTGAGGGAGGAGTAGAAAGATTTAAAACTGCTATAGCTGCTATTTCTGGCTGCTGTTTGTGGGAAAAGAAGAGAGTTATTGATCTATTTTAACAACTCCCCACAGTAGAGAAAACACACTTGCTGTGATTTCTCTGGGCATCAGTAAATAAATCAGGATGGGAAGTTAAGTGAGTCAGGCATCTGTCATTATTGGGTCAGTGTATGACAAGAGAGATTACCCTTATCTCAAGGGGAGGTGCAGCTCAGTCAAGTCAAGGAGCATTTACTAAGTGCTCATTATGCCCTAGGCACTCCACTATGTACTATGCTAATGGAGGAACCACCATGCAAACAACTATGTGTATGTGTATGTGTGTATTATATACATGTATGAATTATATATTCGATACATACAAATGATTGAGATGTATCATATACCTACACACATATATACACATACATATGTAGGTCTGTATGTATACGTATATACATATGTATGTACATACACACACAAGGTTTTCTGCTTAGTTGTTTTTCAGTCATGTCTGACTCTTTAGGACCCCATTTGGGGTTTCCTTGGCAAAGATACTGGAGTGATTTGCCATTTCCTTCTCCAGGTCATCTCACAGATGAGAAACTGAGGCAAACAGGGTTGTTGCTTAAGTGACTAGTTCCACAGTCCTGAAGTTAGATTTGAACTCAGGTCTTCCTGACTTTAGGCCCTGAACTCTATGCATTTATGGCACTACCTAGCTGTCCCATATACAGGGTGATTGGAAGTAATCTCAGATGGAATGCACTAGCATTGAAGGGTCTTGGGGAAGCTTCATTGAAGAAGGGAAGAATTTAGCTGAGATGTGAAGGAAGCCAGGCAAGCCAGGAGGCAGAGAGTTCCAGGAATGGGGGTCAGCAGTGGAAATGGCCAGTTTGGAGATGGAGCGTTATTTGTGAGGAACAGCAAGGAGGGCCACTATTGTTGGACTACAGAGCATGTGGAGAAGAGCAAAGTAGAAGTGGGGGAAGGCAGGAAGGAGCTGGGTTGTGAAGAGCTTTAGAAACTAAACAGAGAATCTTAGATTTGATCCTGGGAGTGGTAGATAGGGACACACTGGAGTTTCTTGAGTAGGGGAGTGACACGGTCAGACCTAGACTTTAGGAAGACGATTTTGGCAGCTGAGTAGAGGATGGACTTGGAATGGGGAATGACGCCCTCCAGAAGGCTATTAGAAGATAGGCCAGGTGTGAAGTGATGAGTGCCTCACCCGAGTGGTGGCTGTGGGAAAGGAGAGGAGAGAAGGGCCCCTGAGAGAGATGTTTGGAAGGTATCTCTGCTCCCCCAAAAAAGGTGGGGTGGCAGGGAGGAAAAAAATAACTCACAACCTTGCCTGCCTTCTCACCAGCCCAGCAACCAATTATGCTACTCTCTTTTATACATGTTTTTGTGTGTGTGTATATATGCACATTTTCTCTTCCCCATTAGAGTATAAGCTCCTTAGGTGCTGCATGGCCTGTTTTCCTTTTTCATTGGGTCCCAAATAGCTGCTAGTACAGTCCTTGGCAGCAGTAGGTACTTAATAAATGTCTGTTGAATAATTGATTAATAATTGTGTCAGTAGCCTGAAAAAGCCATTGTTGCTCATAAATAAATCATGGCATGAGAGAATCTAACTCATGGTCTTTCTTGATCACAGCTAAAATCACTTTCCATTTCACACTTCTTAATCCTATAAATGCCAGTATCCTGGTGCATTGTGCAAACATATTCATAGAGCTATTGAATGTGAAAGAGATACTTAATAAATGAATAACTGTTGAAAGGTCCACTTTAAGATATTGATTCTATAATCATGAGAAAACTCTTCACTCCAGTGTTTTCTTGGCTCAGATGCTATACTGATGTGAAAGCAAGTCAGAGGTAAAAGGATTTAAAAAGTTCTCTAATAGAGCCTATGGAAATAAAAGGGCACTCTGGGAATTAAAATGAAAGACTCCCTTCAGGCTTCCAAAATTACAAATGAAATTCTGCCAAGATTAACACAAAGTTTCCATGGAAAGAGGCACTCCATCTGAGTTCATGTCTGTTCAGATATATGTGACTATTACTTAGTTACCATCTTCTCTTCTCTCCTTCCCACCTTCCCACCAGACAAGGTTAGGGTCAGACTATTTCTGTAATTGTTAATTGAAGGTGGAGTAACTTACAGGGAATGGTTTTGTTTTCAGTGAACCATTAGGTGACTTTTAATTGAAATTAAAAGATGCAGGCTAGCTACATACAGCTTGGATTCTGTTTGTATAGAGGTGTGATCTTGATCTTTTAAAGTCATATGACTCCATATTTAGCTAGTACTTTAGCCATTTGCAAAATGTTTTCCATAGAGCAGTCCTGTAGGGGAGGTAGCTTAAGCACCTGGCCTGCTAAATCAAATGTGAAATCACTGAGGTATTGGAGCATATTGGAGGGAGGGCTGGCTGTAAAGAACATGAAGTCTCAAGCCCTGCCTATGATAGCTACTAGTTGTACTATCCTGGGAAAATTGCTTCACCTCTCATGGTCCCAAGATAATCTTCTAATAATGTAAGTTGAGGAATAGTTGCTGATCTGCAAATTTGTAGAGGGAGTTTCTTTCCTAGTTGTCCTGGAGACCTGGTGAAATCACTTGTCTGGTAAAATAATGATGATGATGATGATAGCGACACAAAAGAATAAGACTGAACTATCTGCACAGGAAAAACAAAAAAATGGACAAAAGATGCCTATTCATGTCATTATGTGCAGCTGGAAAATCTACGGAGCTCAACCATCAGTCTGGCCAATGTAACTCTCAAACAATCAACAAACACTTACTAAGCACCTACTACGTGCCAGGCACTGTGCTAGGCACTGGGGATACAAAAAAGAAGCAAAACATAATTCTTACCGTGGAGAAACTTCCAATCTAATGGCAAAGACAACATGCAAAGGCATATATACAAAACAAGCTTTATATAGGAAATAGTTAACAGAGGAAAGGCATTAGAATTAAGAGAGGTTGGGACAGGCTTTCTGTAAAAGATGGGATTTTAGTTGGAAATTCTGGGAAACTAGGGAAGTCAGTAAGTGGAGTTGAGGAAGGAGAGCATTCCGGGTGTGGGAGACAGACAGAAAATGACTGGAGTCGAGAGATGGAGGGAGGGTCTTAACAGACATTTAACTGAATTCGAAGAAAAGTGCGGGCTAGATTGCTCTTCTCTTTAAAATTTTGTTTTCTTATTTATTTACTCATTCATTTATCTAGTTATCTATTCATTCATTCATTTGTTCATTTATTTATTCATTTTTAGATTGCCTTCCAGAAATTACATGATCCTTTCAACAACTCCAAGCTTCTCTCTGAAACCAAGGCTTATTATCATTATTAATTTTTTAAAATATCGGTCTTTTTCTGGTGATCTTGGCTGAAAACCAAGAATCTTTGAAAAATAAAACCCTCAGGTTACCCACAAAGCAATGGAGACATAAATGGTGAAGGTAAGCAGTCTGTAATATATTATTATGAAGAATTTCACGTGGGACAGGTGGGAAAAAGAATATCACATGAGATACATGTGACAGGAAAAGAAGGTGGGCCAGTCATTTAGCAAGAATGAAAGGTAGCTGAAGGACACCCATGCATTCAGTTGGTATTTATGCAATGTAAAGATATATAGAAGAAGGCCTGAGAGAGTTATATATGGCCCCTCTTTGAAGGAGTTACTTGAGGACATGGATAAGGTCTAATAAATCCAATAAATATTTATTAAGAGCCTACCATGTGCCAGGCACTGTGCTAAGTGCTGGGGATACAATTAAGTAAAAGAAAGACAGTCCCTTACCCTCAAGGGCTTACAATGTAAAGAGGGAGGAGACAACATATAAAAGAAGACAGGAAAACCTGGAGTGGGGGAGGGGTACAGGACATCAAGGGATATCTTGATCCAGGCAGCAGAGCCACAGAGATGAAAATTTCATAGGATGAAAAAGTATGGATGGATTTTGATCTGTACCACCAGAATGAGAGTCTCCATGGATAAGATCACAGATAATATGAAGTTTTAGAGCATTGAAGTACTTTAATTGCATTTTCAACATATCTAGGAGAGGAAGAAGAAGACTATGGAATGTTGCCTTGTACCCATAACACTGGTTAATACGGTAAGAGAGGATAAAATCCAATGTTCCTGTGAGAACTACTACAAAACCAGTGTGCCAATATGGAGGCAGAGCTAGAACTCCACTCTCCTGGTGGAGTTGTGAATTGGTTCCATCTTTTGGATGTGGAGGAATTATACAAGGACACTGACCGAAATATTTATACTCTTTAATCTTTTGGTCCTGCTACTACTAGTTTTATACTCCAAGGACATTATTGTCAGGAAAATAAAAGACTTATTGTATGAAAATATCCCTAGCACCACTATTTGTAATAGCAAAAGCAAATAAAAGTTAACCTAGAAATAAATTTTATATTTAATAAATATATTTAATTCATATTTAAATAAATTATGGCA